TATGTAATTTTTTTATTTTTTATTTTTTGTTAACTAATGGGCTTCACATTTCGAGTTTTAATTTTGTGCTCCCAATGCACATCCCAATCAGTGGGTCGAAAGAAAGAGAAGGATCACCATGGGTAGGGGTGATAAACGAGCCAGGGGCCTTTGGCTCGCTCGTGAAGGCTCAGGCTTACGTACCTAATATTGGTTGTTGGAACCAGGTTTGGACTTGTATAAAAGCTCGTTTAGTAAAATGGTCTTAGGCTCCAATTCAAAAGCTCGGTCTTAGAGCCTCTCAGGCTGGCTTAGTATATTAATTTTTATTTATATTTTTTATACTATTTGTAGTAGCCCCCTCTCTCTCTCTCTCCTCTCAATCCATTTCACCCCTATTTTATTTGTTAAACAAACTTTTTGAATGATTTTGTTCTATATTATGTTGTTTCGATATACATTGAATTTATGAAATTTATGGAATTACTAGTGTTTGATTGTATATTCTGTTTAGATAAATTTTTATTGTCTTATTTTTTTCTAACAGGCTAACAGGTCAAATCAGACTTTTATTTTTTGTAAATAAGGCAGACCACAGGTCGATAATTATATCCGTAACAGGTAACAGGCTTGGTAAGGCCGACACATTTAATCACAGACTTAACTTTTTAAGACCAAAGCTCGCCTCGACTCGGCCCGTTAACACCCCTAACCATGGGCCAAGACCACTTTAAATTTTTTCCTACATTTCTTGTTAGTATAATTTTTTTTTTTTTTTTTGGAGTTACCCAACCCTAATTATCTCTTTGAGACGAGTTGGCTCCCTCCGGTATCCCCACGAGCTTCGACTCTTTGAGCCGGCTATGGGACTAATCCGGAGTGCGGGGGAACAGTGATGACTAAAGGTTCAGCCCCCTCCCCAAAAATGCATTCAGCGGGAATCGAACACATATCCAACCCCACTAACTCAGCGCCAAATTACCAATTGTGCTGCACCCATTGAGTATAATTTTTTTTTTTACTGATATTAAATACGAGAAGTATTACCCATAAAGATTAAACTCTTATTCTTATAATAAGTAAGTCCGGTATATTCCTTTATTCGGTGAAATGACTCAAAAGTCAAAATATACTATAAATTAAAATGTACTTTTTCAATTGAATTACCAATTTACAGGTGCAGCGACTCTCTTGTGCACGGCAAAATTCACAAGCACCAGACAAGCCTGTCGTTTGTACCTTCATAGACATAATAACTGCAACCAAATTCTGTGAAATAACAAATAGAATTTTGTCCATTTTGCAGCTAGCGCCTAGAGCTAGCAGCTACACGAGAAATTCCTAACTAGTAATACGCAAGCATTCGGATCATAAAGCCATTCTCATGTTTGTTTGGCCTCTCTCTAGCTAGACTCAAATTAGCGTAGGGGAAGCTAAAACGCTTCACTAATGCTAATGTGGTGGGGCTATGTGAGACTGTCTAGAAAATAGACTCTCACAAAATACCAATTCTTTTTTAATTGAAGATTCTAATTATTTAAATAAAAAAATATTTTTTTTGTTATAAAAGATAAAATTATTTTTAATTTAAAATTATATTATTTTAGGATTTGGGAGAAAAAATATAAGACACTTTAAAAAATTCATATTATAAGAGAAAAATAAATTCTAAAAAAATATTATAACCCTAAAATAAATTGTAATTATAAAAATACCTTAATTTTCATCCCAAAATAATATCGTTTTGGGTTCAATATAGATAACTTATCTATATTGACTGTAGAAAAGATGAACCCTATATATATATAAACACCCTTACAAAAATGAGAAAGATTATACTTACACTCTCTTAAAATCATATATATCTTAACCGTCGAATTTCGTTAATTAACGATTATCATTTATTGTGAATTAATAATTAATTAATGAATTTAATTTACAAAAATAATAACCGTTGATTGACGAAATTTAACGGTTAAAATATAATTGTAAAATATTATAAACAAAATAGACTATATCTTGTAAGTATAACATTTCTGTTAAAAAATTACAAAACTTGTTAGCTACACCATATAAAGTTAGTTACAAGCGCATAACTAGAGTAGTTTGGCCAAATTTCCTTTAACGTGTTCCCACTTTATGCATGATTGGCTGGAAATTGGAAGGACCCTCATAACTCGGGATGTTACCTACCGATCCAGCCTGCTAGTTTGTTGGTTCTTTGAATTATATATTCTATTATATTCTCCAATCCCTCCCCCAATTTTTTTCTTATTATTATTGGGAGAGAGTTGTTGGAGAAAAAGGAAACAGGAACTTAATTATTGAAATGATATTTTATAGTTATCTCCAAGCATAATAAACAGGGCTCGAAAGAATAAAGATGTTTTGGTTTGCTCTATTTTTTTAAAAAAAAATTATTTTCGGATTTTCTTAATAAAATTTAATTATATATCATTTCAAATATAAATAAGCTAGTTTAAACTTTAAAGTTAAACACGATAAATTAAAGGGGAGAACATTTGATATCATCCCTGTCCCTGGCTGCAGCTCTGTGCGTTTACGATTTGGTAAACAACAATGATTATAAAGGAATTTAGGCACCTATTTAATAAATAATATGTTCCTTTTTTATGATTACTTGGGAATAACCTGATAGAATAATGAGCTAGTCATGAAGCAGACGTATGATTGGAGTTGGAAGTGTTAGTTGAAGCACACTACTTTACTAACTGATTAAGCGGAAACTAGCTACAATATTGAGCAAGAAAGGACAAACCAAATTACACGCACAGTGACAAGTGAAGTACTTGTAAAACAGATTTAAAATCAGTGATATATTTGGTTGTTAAATTGATCGAACTATTTAAGACAAAATTTGTTAATACTTACGCGTATATATGTACCAAATGAATAAATCTTAGGTGCATCTATTGCATCTATAGATTCAGTGCATCCCACTAATTGAAGTATTACACATCAGAGAAAAGAGAAAGAATTTACAAAAAAAAATAAAATTTCACTGACATATAATATTTTTATTGATGGAATGACTGAATCTTTGGTACAATAGTAGCACCAAAAATTTATTCGTATGAAATAAACAATTAATGGAGATAAATAATGACACCCACAATAGAGGTGGTAATAAATCGGGTTGACACAAATCACACCAATATGACACAAACACGAATACATTAAATATAAATATGAATATTCATTGATTAATCCATTATAAATTATAGTACATATCAAATAGCTAGGTTTACAAGCATCACTTTAATGATTTTGTGCTAAGAAATCACTGAATTAAATTTTTAGAAGAGTGGATGTAAATTATTATTACTTTTTTTATAAATCACAAGTATATTTACGGGAGACAATTTTGTTCGAGGCGGGTTTAAGATTAAAGTTTTAAATCCTTCCCAAAAATGATAATGGGAAGGATCGAACACATGCTCTCACTCCTGCTGAGCTTTCATATGTCAATTGAGCTCCAAAGTGATTGTAATTCTTGATAACTATCAATTTAACCCCAAAAATTTAAGATGTTAATTGAAAACGAAATTAATAGTTTTATATCATTTTTTAATACATTTAATTTTTTGGGGAGTGTTTCTCCTTAATATTTGGTGGCTGAGTATGCTCCATGGCTCAATGTCAAAATAAGCACCTCAATAAATATTACCTAACTTATTATTAGGGAAAATTCTAGAAGAAGGTGAAGGGTTTCACCTCACCTATATAAAGATATGTAAATTACTTGAGATAATTTCTCTAGAGAAAAGATTGAGTGAGTGACCTCCTTAAAGAAGAACTTCCGTTTTTTTTTTTTTTTTTGGTAGTTAAGAAGAACTTTGATTATAACTATATATTGTAGGTAATGTTTGAGAATATATCTTAGGTGTTATTAGAGAAGTTTGAATCTTTGTAATCCTATTATTATAGTAAAAGATTTTTTTGAATTAGGTCTCGTGGTTTCTACTCTTCTACATTAGGAGAGGTTTTCACGTTAAAACTTGTGCATTTTTATCTCAATCTCTTTATTTTTGCATTTTTCTATATATTCAATTGGGGAATAATCCGTTTACAATTTTTTTTTTACAAATTACACTAAATATGATCGGTCACACACTCTTGATTGAAGTATGACCAATCAGACATAGTATAGTTTGTAAATAAATTTTTTGTAAATATAACTTAAATAAAATTTTCCTTTGCAATTTACGTCGACCTGCTAACTAGAGGCCTACCTACAAGTATTGAGTTATAGTGCTCCACTTGACCACCTATGTTTTACTTTCGAATTATTTGAGAACCTCCCAACATAATTAACTATTTTTAATATCAATGATATTGAAGAATCAAAATAGAAGATTATAAGAGCCATAATGAGTTTTTGTTTTTGTTTTTTATGTTTTATCTCTTTTAACATAAATTATATTCTTTTTTCGCTTTACTACTTCTTGGACCGTGCATGCATTCACTATTACCGACAACACTTTTTTTTAGAAAATGATAACTAATGCATTAATTAAGTTTATTGGTGAAAGTAACAAAATAAAATAAAATAAACCTTTTAGTGCCTTAATCCAATGTTTGCAAGAGATTTTAATTTGAAGGGGACACATATATACAATCTGAATATGCTGATCATTGATCTGAATTTGCAGTCAGAGTAGAATGATAGTTTTTGCTTACTTATTATTCAGCTTACTCATCAGTTTACTTCCCACCTTTCTATTTATTCTATGCTTTCCATTTCTCATGTTTCGTCTGTGCCTTCCTGTAGATTATATCCTATATCTGTACATAGATATGAGTACTATTTCAGTGTAAAACTAGTAATGTACTACTACTGGAAATGACTTGGGAACAGTGAAAAGTTGTTCAATTCATTATACACAGCTACATGCTCCAGCAGGATTTTCGTTATGTTCTAATAGAATTAGAGAGAGAGAGAGAGAGAGACATAGAGAGATACATAGATATGGGGCATAATACTTTTAACATAACACTAATCAACCTAGATAGTTTGCTACCATTGAAAAAGGAACTACGCAAAGCTCTCTTTTCTTTAGTTCTGTGCAGTCACTATCCCTTCCATTGAAACTCAATTCTTTTTGCTCATCTCTTTGTCTTGAGGTATTGCCTTTCTCCTGAGGAGACAAAACATGACAACTTATTAGTTTAAAATGGATAAATCATTAACTTCCACAACCAACATGCAGTATGTATAAAGAGTACACCACTGAAAGGTACAAGCAAAAGTGAAAAAAAGAAATGAAAATTATATTGATTTTAGGTATAGCCTTAGTTTATATAATTCTTATGCATTTTCCTCTCAATTCCAAGTAGCTAAAGAAAAACTTTCTTTGAAAAGCCATAAGGGAACATTCTATTATATATTTATGCCAATTCAATAGAACCTGAGAAAGGTTTACCACTTCAGTTTGTTTCGGCTTGTCAAACTTCTGATTCCCATACAAAACCTAAAAATACCATGGGTAAATTATAATAGTACTAAATGATTATTAATAAACTTGAACTTTTTATAGAGAGAAAGAAATGGTAATGATATGATGTAAGAAAAAAAGGGGGAATAAAAAAAAAAAAAAACCTTGGGACTATTGAGAGGAGAAGTTGCAGTGTCTTCCAAAGCATCTTCAACCAAAGCTGTTATGATGTTCTTCCTCTTCTTGAAACTTGATCTCTTACCATTTTTATTCACAGAAAACTCCTCAACCTGTTTACTATGAGCAAATTTTTTAGCAACCATGGAAGAAGCATCAGAGACATGGTAGGAGGAGGTGGCAACACCAGAAAAAGACATAGAACACTTGTGGTTATCATCATGGTTGTTGAAGAAGTCCTCAAAATACATAGTCCAACCACTCTCTTCAGTGGAAATATCATTAGAGGAAAGAGCTTTGCTTACGGAACTCATAGATGCTATAGCTTTTCTATCAGAAAGCCAAGAAGAGAAGAGGAACAATGATGTAATTAGTGGGGTTTGGTGGCCAGCTCTAAAGAGGCAAGTCTCCCAAAGAACGCATATATATAGTTGAAGAAATTCTTAATTTAGGGGGACTCGTTTTTCATATGCTAAAATTTTTCTGAGTTATATTACAAATATAATTTTATCATAAAAGAAAAAAAAAATTATATCATTTTATATCAGTATAATTTATAATCATAACGGTTCTAATTTGTTAGATTAAAGATTAATGATTAAGATGCAAGCAAATCAATTATTAGGATTGAATATAAGACTTTTTTTATCAGTGTAAGTTAATTTTTTCTACAGCAAAAATATAAATATTTTTGCCATTATATATATAATACACTTAAGACATATAGCGAAAAATGATGAGTTATGTATGACGACTTTGGAATCTCTTGGGGTGGGTCAGAGAAGTTAGGGGAGTTTAAATTAGCAGGGAGAGAGAGTGTGTGTTTGACCTTTGGGATGAGAGAAATAGTATGCCTCCAACAATGATTTGGCATGAATTTCTTTATGGAGCACTTAACTTAACACTAATGGTTTGAATTAGTCGTTAGTTACCAAATGGAAGTTTGAAAATGTTCTTTGGGCCAAGTCACTTTCAAGTCTCAGAAGATTTTGTCTTGTAATTAATCGTATGATATATGAGGAATTTCTAGCACACCATCTCTATTCTCACTACAAGAAAAAAGTTTATTTGTGACAAAAATTTTCATCACAAATTTTGTCACAAATGACAATTTTCGACACAAATAATCAAATTTCGTCACAAATAAATTTGCGACTTAGAAATTTGTGACGAAATTTCATATGTAGTGACAAAATTTGTGACACTGATAAGATTTTTTCTTGTAGTGTCTTTTCCCTTGATATTTAATTGATTTCTTTGTCAAATAAATCATGATGCTGCTCAAGTATAATTTTTTTTTTAATAAATCACAAGTATCTTTTACGCGAGTCAATTCTGTTCGGGGCAGGTCTAGGATTAAAGCTTTAAACTCTTACAAAAGATGATATTGGAAAGGATCGAATACATATTCTCATTCTTATTTGCTCAGCTCCCATGCGCCAACTGAATTACCATCATTTGGTGCTCAAATATAATTTTAATTATATACTAGTTATCTTATCCGGAGCAACAAACATGTTATTATATATATAATATTTATATTCTATATTGAAAAAATATTATGTTTTTAAAAAAGTTTATTACTTATAAAATATATTGCAGTATAAAAATTTCAAAATGTGAAAAATTAAATTTTATCTTTTGGATATCCAAACCGATTTAATCAGATTCGAACATTGTCAGACTCGTATTAAGAGTGACTCTCTTAATACTATTTTCTCCCTTCTTGGAAAAATAATTCTAGTTTGGTCATTTATTACTTTTATTTAGTGTTTTCTTACCTCTATATATTTACTAATAATATAAATGTAAATGTAAATATAAATATATGCTACCATTTATAACTCTATTCGTACTTCGTAGTAATATACTATGTAACACCGATATGGACACGTGACACGAGACACAATACGACACGACACTCCGACACGTTAATTCTAAAAAATATTAGATTTCGACACGTTAGGACACATTTTGATATTAAATATTATTTTTAATTTATGTAATGTATATTATATTTAATACTCAATAATTTAACAAAAAAATGAAGTTAAACTTATAATACCCATCAATTTTGCAAAGAAATATAAGATATCCCAAATATTTATATTAAACTCAATAAAATGGTAATAGTAATCCAACGAATCTATTAATTGGAACTAAAAATGCAATGCAACACAACCTCTGAGAGTGTCGGGGAGTGTCGAAAAGTGTTGGACATGACACATCAAGGTTTTTGAAGTGTCGGTGCTTCGTAGGTAATATATACGGGTTTCAATGTTGATCCAGCTGTTAAAGAACAATTATATGGTGTGTGGCCACATAATCTTTTTAATGACCATTCTTGGTCCTTCCTATAAAATTGACCTTCAGTCTTAAGATAGGAAACACACCTCCATCTTAAAAAACTAATTTATGTAAATATTTAACAAAATTGTTAGCATTTTTCCAAAGTTTATAGGAGGATGTATAATAAAGTGCGGTTTCTCTGCTTAAACATCATACAAAAAACCATTTTTTAAAATAAAAATAATAATAAAATAAGATTGATTGGTGTATATAGATATTTTTTTTTAAGACAAAGAGAAAATAAAACTAGACTAAAACTAAGCGAGGAAATGCTACTCGCCTAAAGTCTTGAAGAAATCTTTCTTTACATCCTGCAGGAGGATTGTTGAAAATCTGAATATCCCAATTTGACATATATGCATGCGTTGCTAACCAATCAGCTACTCCATTTGCTTCTCTGTATGTATGAGACACATAAACCTGCCAGCTCCTTCTCAACAGATCATTAATACGCATAATCAGCCCATGTAAAGGATGCATCTCTGTATTTTGTTTCGAAAATAATTGCATATAGATATTTTTGTTTGGGTATATATAGGTTTCGAGATGCTATTTGTAAACTCATCTAAACAATGACTAAAAATGAATTATATGTTAACACTGGACTGATCATGAATATCAATATTAGTTAAATTATAGGGTCCAACTTCTCAGGAGAAGAAACTTCTACTGTAATTATGGGTGTTAAACGAATCAGGGACTTTTGGCTTGGCTCGTGAAAATCTAGGTTTACATATTTAAAATTAGTTGTTAGAACCAGACTTTGACTTGTATAAAAGCTCGTTTAATAAAAAGGTCTCAGACTCCAATTTAAAAGCTCGGCCTTAGAGCCTTTCAGGCTGGCCTAACATACTAACTTTTTTTGTATACTGCTCATAATAGCCTTTCTCTCTTCTCAACCCATTTCACTCCATTTTTTTAGTTAAACAGATTTTTTGAATGATTTTATTCTATATTATACTATTTGGATATACAATTTATGAATCTTTATAGAATTATTAGTGTTGTTGATCGTATATTTTGTTTGGATAAATTTTGTTGTCTTATTTTTTTTTTAACATGCTAACAGGTTAAATCAGACTTTTATTTTTTTGGAAATAAGTCATGCCACATGCCAATAATTATATTCATAACAGGTAACAGTTTAGACCAGATTGACACATTTAAATACAAACTTAGCCTTTCAAGACTAAAACCCGGCTCGACTCGTTAACACCCCTACCTGCAACGAATTAACACTATATACTACGGTAGTACATAGTTGTAATATTAAAATTGATTTTTTTCTTTCTCTGCCACGTCAACCGGCAGCTTCTGAAAAGATAGAAAAAAATAGCTTTTAAAATTACAACTATGTATTACTATAATACATAGTGTTAATTCATTGCAAGAGAAGAATGTAAGAACCCGCACCGTTAATTAAGGTATTTAATTAATAAATTATGAGAAAATAGGAAATGATTCCATAATGGACTCTAATAATTATTAAGAGGCTTTAATAATTATGGTAAGTGATTAAGAATGCTGAAAGTCACTTTTCGGAAGAAAAATGCAGATACCGGTTCTGCTAGTTGGTATAAATGCGCACCGAAAAAGTATCCCGGAAAATTAATGTAAGTACATTATAATTACTAGAATAATATATAGGACTTGTAAAACGAGTTTTAAGTCCAAATAATGAGAACTGATGCTAGAAACCGGTACTGGCTTTGAGAAGCGCGTACCGAAAAGGTGCTCAGAAAAATATAATAAAAATATGGTAATTCTTGGAAAAATTTGTAGTTTTAGAATCCAAAGTTTGGGATTAAAATGCTAAGCGTAGCAATTAAAGTTAATACTGCGTGTTTTAATGAGTTTTGGCTATATATACTATGTCTAATGGCACATTGCCCTAGATACCTAAATTTTGAACGTGGCTTTTCTTGGAGGCTGACCAGAATAGTGTTCTTAGGCTTCCTTCTCCATTTCTTGATCAAGTAATCACCTTTGATGCTTGTTCTTCCATTTAAACACTTGGTGAGGGTGAGGGTTGGCCTTGGGACTGCATTGTTGGCCTTTTTCGGAGTTAGAGAACCTGTATGAGGGAGTTTGAACTGCTGAGTTTTGTGTTTGAAGGGTGGGAGTCTTATTCTTGGCATTTTGATCTTCAAAGTGTCACCTTTGTGAAGAAAAACCGACTCTTGATGGTGTCATTTTCGTGCATCATGTTGAACCAGCTTTGAGTGGCTGTTGTGAGCTCCAAGAGCATCTCCCTCCTCTGTTTTTGAGTTGTGGTATGATCACCAACATTTAACTTGAGTTTTAAGGCTTAAAAATGGAAGCTTGATGCATGTTAAGGCTAAAAGATGATAACTTGTTGTTGGGTAATGCTTAACACACCTAGAAATGCATGTTTAAGTGTTTAAAATAGGTAAAAACCAACCTTTGAAGGATATCTTCACGAAATGCACTTGCTGCATTCTGTCGTGAAATATCTGGATATCTGCCCGTGGAATATCCGGATATGATATCCGGATATGTGATATCCGGATATGGGGTTTTGGGATATCTGGATATTAGATATCCGGATATGGGAATCTGCATATCCGGATATGGACAGTGAGATATCCGGATATTGCATATCCGGATATGTCCCCGTGGAATATCCGGATATTCTGGGATTTCGTAGAACAGTAGCTGTGCTGTGTGTACAGTAGGCTATTGGGGGTTTGTGGACTCTAGATTGATGAAGTTGAACTTCTGTAATTAGTGGACTAAGCCAGAATCATGTGATTAAGGGCTTGTAGCTTTGTTAGAAGCTTTAAGACATAAAACGTAATGAAAAGGCGTTGTCTTTAGTTTGTATGCATGTGGTACATGTTTATTGATTTATATTTGGTCCATATCAGATTGTGATCTGCTGTGATTGGACTTTGAGCTTGTGGCATTGGATAGCTAGCTTAGAGGTAAGCTTTCGTGTCCTCGGTTTAGCCATGTTGTGGTTCCACCATGTCCCATGGGGGTATGGTTATATGCATGATGTGTTACATGC